CAGGTAAGTGCTAGGACGGATAAATGTCATAAACGTATGAATCCCGGAGGTTAGGGAAGCTTTCCTGAGGACATGGCATTTTTGTTGAGATATGAAGGAGGAACTGGAGTTAATTAAGTAGAAGAAGGTGGGGGTGGGGTGGAGGATAGAGCATTCCAGACAGGTAGAGAGAGACAGAGACAGACAGAGACAGAGAGGGAGAGTCAAGAGAGGGAGACAGCTCAGCTAGCAGGAGCTTGGCAAGGAGTGGCACTCATTAAGTGTTTATTCCTTCCCTCAGCACCCAGAGACGAGGAGGAGGACAGCCTGGAATGCCCCCTGACCTCTCCAGGCTCTCCCAGGAGGTGGCTTTGGTGACCTGAGCCTGTAAGTAAAAATCCTAACGGGAATAAAGCAAAGGCTCGGCTCTGCTCTGCTTAAGGTGAAAGGAGGCTGAAAGTGGCCCTCCTCTTGTCTTCCCCACCCTCCCCCTCTTCCGAACAGACACACATGTCAAAGATAGAACCTGTCTTGTAGAATAAGATGGAGGGTTTTCATTACCTGAGAGGAGACCAAACACTCCTATATGTTCCTTGGGATAATTTGTTCTTATCAAATCTACTAAGTATTATTCTTATAGGACATAGAGATGACATCTTTGCGATGATCAGTTGCCTGCAGCAGGATCTTGTCTATAATCACAGAGAAAAACAGGTGAAGGGAAATAGGGAATGGAGCAAAGGAGGATTTCAGCTGACATTTGAAGAAATAACGAGGGTCAAGGTCAAAGAGGAGGAGATGATATACAGGAAAAGATGCCAGTGGGGCCATGAAACCCTCCTGGGATTGGGGAGGGAGCCCCTCCATCGTATATGGTGAAAGAACACTCACAGCACATCACGCGATGAAAGAGCTTGAGAGATGAGTTCAGACAGAGTTAACTCCACATTGACTTTCCGACAGGGCCATGGTGCCATTGGTTCTCCTGGTCGCATTTCAGCCTTTATCCACCAGCAGCTCCGCCTTCTCTTCCCAGCCTTGGAATGGAACCTTCTGGGCCCTTCTCAAACTCAACTGCCTCTTCTCTGCCCTCCCTCACAGCCCTCCCATGGTGCCCTCGGGTGCTCTGGGCATAAGCCGGAGGTCTGTGAGGTGATTCCCCGCCTAGTGCCTAACATGACACCTTGCACGTAGAGTGCGCTTGGTAAATGTGGGTTGAAGAAAGAAATGGATGGATGACAACCATCCGTGTTCGGGGAACGCTTGTGAAGTAACAAGTGCCCTCTATGCAATATTGATGGTTATTCCCAGTTATTGATGGTTATTGCTGAGGTGACAGTTAAAGTAGCTTTGAGGTGGAATCAGTAATTTCATTTTCCCTCCAGAGATGCCCTTGCGCACATCAAGGCTGTAGTTGCATGGTATGCCTGGTGGAGCGGCAGCAAAAACAGACCTGGTTGTAGCTCTCCATCAGCAAATTCCCAGGGCCCTTTCTTAACAGGCAGATATTTGGATCCATCCGGAAATTGATTAATTTTTCCCAACAGGCCTCCCACGGACATGGCTTACATAGCAGTAAATATAAAAGTTCCGGGCATTTCTTTCAAACAGAGCACTTTTGTGAGCTCATGGCTGCACAAACAGAGATCCAGAGCGCCTGGCCCTACATAAATTCTCCCCATGTGCCACGATAAACCTAATCAAAGCATCCTGAGATGTTTGCTTCCAGGACCAGCGGAGTACAGAGCGAGGCGCTCTCTCACGCCCACCCATCCACCTTCGCTGCTTCTGAGTTGGACTGCAGGACAACATCGCTTCAGAGCAGCTCACGGTCAAGGGGAGACCAAGAAAAGAACAGGCTGGCAGTGCCCTCGGCGGTCCCAGATCTGTCTCTTGCTTCAATAGTGTTTGGACGGAACAGACCCAGGGATGCCCCTTCTTCCAGCCTCTGACCACTCTCCTGCATCTCATCCAGTCACCACCTACAAAACCACCTCCAGGACCAGCCAACACACCGGGTTTTTTTCCTACCTTAACTCCTTATGCTGAACAACCATGAGCTTCCAAATTCATCAGAATTATTCCACTGAGGTGGAGGCTTCAGTCAACCGCCTGGCCAACCTGCATCTGCGGGCCTCCCCACCTACCTCTCTCTGGGCTACTACTTCAACCGTGACGATGTGGCTCTCGAGGGCGTGGGCCACTTCTTCCATGAGTTGTCAGAGAAGAAGCACGAGGGCGCTGAGCATCTCTTAAAGATGCAAAACAAGCGTGGCGGCCGCATTCTCTTCCAGGACATGCTGAAACCTTCCCAAGATGAGTGGCCAAAACTCAGGACACCATGGAGGCCTCCCTGGCCTTGGAGAGGAACCAGAACCGGGCCCTTGTGGAGCTGCAGGCCCTGGGTTCTACCTGTGCAGACCCTCGGCTCTGTGACTTCCTGGAGAACCACTTCCTGGATGCAGAGGTGAAACCGATCAAGAAGATGGGTGACACCTGACTCACCTCCGCAGGCTGCCGGCCCCCATGCTGGGCGAGTATCTCTTCGAAAGGCTTGCCCTCGAGCCCCACTAGGAGCCTTTGGAGCCCAGGGGCCTTTCAGAGGCCCCTCTGCATTGCCCTGGTGTCCCTGGCTTTTAACTGAGCCTCTTCACAAAACTATTAGTCATTCTTTTAACCACCCTGGAGCCCTCTCCCATGCCTTGGACCAAATGAAACAATAAAGCTTTTTGCAGGAAAAGGAAAAAAAGAAAAGAACAGGCTGCCAGGGAGCTGCTGGCCAGAGAGCCGCATCCCAGCACACACTTGCAGCCGCAGCGTGGGCAGCTCCAGGTTAGTGCAGCGAAACATGTTCTGAGTTGCGTAGCCAGCCCCGCATGCTGGGACAGGATGGCCCACAGCCCCGGTGGCTGGATCCTTCAAACTAGAAGGAACAGAAGGACCAGGGTCCAGAGGCCAAGACCGTGTGGGTGGAATGGAGGCTGGCTGTCACCCCAGCAAGTGGCAGGGCAGAGGTCCAACTTCACTTCTCCTGGTGGTCCGTGGAGAAGGCAGATGCCACCAGAGGAATAGTTCTCATGTAATCAGAGTGCTGAGCCTCCTCAGTAGCAGGTACACACGCTCAAAAGCCCCAACACTCGGGTGCTTACATACTGGAACTTGACCTGTTTTCTTATAACCAGATCTAGTTTCTGTCACACACACCCCAGGTGGCCAGATGGCAGGAAAGGTGGGCAACTCCGGTGGCTTCTCCATTCACCCTCCTCACCCCAACTCCCCCCACCTCCTTCTCCCGACGTTAACCAAACTTCTGGAAGGTGTAGGTGGCAGCATCTTCAGGGGAAGGTATCCCTCAGGGTTCCTTGTCCTTCAGCCCCTCCCCAACAGACCAAAAGTGGAAGAGAAAAAATGGTATCTCCAGACCAGACAGACAAAGGCTGATGCCCTCACCCTTCGCAGGAAATGTTTTTCATCTATAAGTTACTTATTAGTCCTTATTGGTTCTTCTAGTTCAGTGGCTTTTAAACTATAATCCAGGAAGATCCCTGTGTGTGTGTGTGCGTGTGCGTGTGCATGTGTGTGTGTGTGTGTGTGTGTGTGTGTGTGTGTGTGTATGCACATATGGTGGGGAGGAGATCAGCAACTAACAAACTTTTAGGCCTTTAACTTCTCCATCTCTGCCTTTGGGACCATGCTAACCTACAGGACTATTAGTGAAACCAATGATTCATGTGTCTGTTTCGGTGACTACAAAGTAATAACTCATTCATCAATGGAAAAGTATCAAAAGCTGACTCAGTTTGGAGCATTCCTTAGATATCACTGGAGACTAACATAATAATGGGCAGAGATAATGGTGAAGCCACTTCTAATGATTAGATTGAACAGAGTGAAATGATACCACGTAATGATATCATTATAGACGAAATGAGACCATGTCTGGGATTAGTTTCAAAATAACATGAGAAGGGAAGAAATGGGTGGGAGCCGGCGCAAGGCTGGCCCTGAGTCAACAGTTGATGAAGTTGGGAGATGAGTACAGAGGGGTTCCTTCTACCAGTCTGTCTAGTTTGGAATCTGTTTAAATTTTTCTGTAGTGAAAATTAAAATTAATCAAGAAAAAATAAAGCATTCTTCATATTTAGGAGCATCTGAAATACAAGCATTCTCTCTTCCACTGACGTTTTCTCAGCCTGCTATTGTCTCTCTTTGAAACAACTTGCTCTGACTAACCGATGTGCTTAAACACAGCATTCAAAAATGGCTACTAGTCTCTGAACACCTGCCATGGGCCAGCGTGTGCTAGATATCCTCCCGTGCATCAGCTCAGATGCTCCAGGCACCCCTGCGAATGCGGGCACTGAGGTGCAAGTCTGCCAAGTAAGTTTCCCGAGATCACGCCGCTACTGGTGATGGACACAGGGTTCGGCTTTCACAACGATTAAATTAAGTGTTAGACAGTGAAATATGTGTTTATCGTTCAAAGTTAGCGTTGGAAGAAGCGTTCCTTGAAAAGGCAGAAATGAGGTTGTGGAGGCATCGCAGACAACGCCAGTCAGAAGGCTGTGCTCTGAGGAACCGGGGCCCTAACTTGCCGGGTGTTCAGGGAAGCTAATAGGGGAGCTGGACCCCACACTGCTTTGGCAGCTGCTGTCGATTCCAGATTTTCATCCTTCCATTCCAAGGCCCACATTTCTTTTACTAAAACCACAGAAATGAACTTCCAGTATCCAGACTGTGGATTAAAAAGAAGCAAAACTATCTAATTTGCAGGTGATCTAATCTTATAGATGGAAATTCTAAGGAATCCACTAAAAATAAAAACTATGAGACCTAATAAATGAGTTCAACATGTATTAGGTCTCACAGATACAAGACTAAATAGAAAAACCCATTGTATTTTTATATACTTGCAATAAACAACCTCAAAAAGGAAGTTAAGAAAACAGTTCCATACTATTTGGCTTAAAAAAAAAAAAGATGAAGTATTGCCATTTGAAAGTAACAATGTACTCTCTTACCATTTGCCTTCGATTCTCCACCAGGTTGATGCCAATAATTCCTAAGAAAGATCCGAAGCCCAGCTGAAAGCAAAGGAAAAACAAGGAAAAAGCATCCAGTTAGCACGCTGGTGGCTTGATGCTGACTTCTAACAGTAAAAAATGCATAGGAGACTGCCGCCCTTAAAGCATCTCACCAAAGGCCCAAGGCGGGCCACTCCCGCCTCTCCAAGTTCTGACCACTAAGTGGCAGATGGTCCATGTACATTTGGGTGGACTCCTCACGCTCAATGGAAGCCGATGATTGGAATAGAAACTTCTGAGTCATGATCCATCCCTTCTTCTTTTTTTTTAATCTTTATTGTTGAAAGTATTACATATGTTCTCCCCCCTTTCCCCCCATTGACCTCTTCTAGCCCGCCCCCGTTCCACACCCCAGGCCTTCACCACCATATTGTCAGTGCCCGTGGGTTATGCATATATGCATACAAGTTCTTTGGTTGATCTCTTCCCACCCACCCACCCTCCCCTGCCTTCCTTCTGAGGTTCGACAGTCTGTTCCATGCTCCTATGTCTCTGGTTCTATTTTGTTCATCAGTTTATTTTATTCATTAGATTCCACATATGAGTGAGATCATGTGATACTTGTCTTTCTGACTGGGTTATTTCACTTAGCATAATACTCTCCAGGTCCATCCATGATGTTGCAAATGGTAAGAGTTCTTCCTTTTTTTACAGCTGTGTAGCATACCATTGTGTAGATGTACCACAGGTTTTTTTATCCACTCATCTGTTGGTGGGCACTTTGGCTGTATCCAAATCTTAGCTATTGTAAATTGCACTGCAATGAACATGGGGGTGCATATATCCTTTCTGATTGGTGTTTCTGATTTCTTGGGATATATTCCTAGAAGTGGGATCACTGGATCCATCTCATCTTCTATATTCAAACATTTTAACTCTTAGGTCAGGAAGAGATTACAGGAAAAGATAGCATTGTGTGCCCCCTTTTCCCCTCATGGAGGACAACCTCTTTATGGTAGCCCAGACCACTCACAGCTCATCTGCATCTGGGCCTCAGGTGAAAGGCCCACCTGATGTTTCTCCTGGGCCTGTCTCAAGTCCCATAGTCAGAGAAGGACTCCTCTGGTAAGATATTAGGAAACTAGAACCATGGATATTTCAGAAGAAGGGTTACCTGTCACCTGTGGACATGGCTGACACCACTCAGAGATAAGCTTTTGACTCAGGTGAGCAGACAAATAGGTAACCTTGGGGAAGAAGAGAGGGAGAAGGGGGGAGGGTCCTAGAGGCTCCTGAGAATCAGTTGTAATCATCAATCAAGGCTTCTTGGCAGGTATCTTTTAAAGCTACATGTCCGTTTTATGAGGACTAGTTCAGTCAGCTTGGTCTCACGAGGCTAAAATCTAGGCGTCACGGAGCTGGTTGCCTCTGGAGGGTCTGGGGGAGAATCTGGGCCAGGCCTTTCCCGTGTCCAGAGCTGTTCACTCCTTGGCTCGTGGCCCTTCGTCCATCATCAACTTCTCCCATCACACGCTGAGGCCTCTCCTGCACCCTCCCCCACTTCTAAAGACCCTGTGCTAACACTGGCCAGATGCAGGATCCACACCCTGGAACCCCCATTACTGGGTAGCCCACCACAGTCACAGGTCCCAAGCAGTAGGACCTAGATACCTCTGAGGTCATCATTCTGCCAAAAATAACCACCAAAACAAGTTTCCATGCCCTAAACCTCCAGCTCTGGGGAGCTGGAGCGAAGTGTGTCACCACCACACAGACATCTGTGGTGCCCAGTGCCCCTCCCTCAGACCCCTGGGCCCCGTCACTCACAATGATCCCTGGGTAGTAGCCCCCCACGGTCACATTCTCCGTCCTGGTGGTGGCAGCGAGGCCGATGGTCAGGATGAAGACAGACACCACAAGCAGAGACCCCACAAACCAAAGGGAAGTCTTCTTTCTTCTCCCAAACCCTTCTGGGAGGAGGATAAATGAGGAAGCTGTTAGTACGGGGCAGGCTCCGAGGGGGGTCCTAGCAAACATGAGCGCATTTGGTGTCTGCGTGGCCCTTGTCTCTGAGCCCTACAGGCTCTGGGAGATCTCTCTGTCCCGGACCAGGGGCCCATGCTAACTGCTCTCTCCTTCGTCAGTGCCCACCTCAGGTGCACTGAAGCTTAACCATCTCAATCCCTATGACCCCACAAAACAGGGAATGAAAGAAACACATGGTGTTTCTTCTGGTGCCAAAGGTAAATCAAGTGTGTGTGTGTGTGTGTGTGTGTGTGTGTGTGTGTGTGTGTATGTGTTTAATTGGGAAAACAACTTAGTATCTCATTGCAACCACTAGCTCAGATGACCACCTGAATTGCAGACATGCAGACATTGTTCATACTCTAAAGCAGGGGTGGGAAAACTTTTCTCTGCCAAGGGCCATTTGGATATTTATAACATCATTTGCAGCCCATACAAAATTATCAACTTAAAAATTAGCCTGCTATATTTGGTCAAACATTTAATTAACTCACCCCTAATGCCTTGGCAGGGCCAGACCAAATGATTTCTTGGGCCTTATACAACCCGCGGGCCGGATGTTCCCCAGCCCTGGCTCTAGGTTTGCCTCCAGAGATTTGCACTTCTGCAGTCCTAACAACAAGGTTGGAACACCCAAGAACAGGATTGTTACATACTCAGAAATAGATTGCACAAAACTATAAATCTATGTGAAAACTCAGAAAAACTTGGCTCAACTGAGTACACTGACCTAGTAAGGGTGTTAGGAAGGACACTTCAGTCCGGGGGCTAAAGGGAACCTCATGCAAGACCCCCCATCCCTTCACCAGCACCCCTCTCAGACTCCACACAGCCCTGGCACAGCCCACTCCCTCCAGACCCTTGGGAAGACACTTCTCCCAAGAATCTCATCCTAAACCACCTATTACCTTCACCCTGGAGGGGATGAGATCAATTCATTCACTAAGAGAATAAACCACCAGAGAGCTGAAGGTCTGGGCCCAGGCGCAGTACCCAGGACCTGGGCATGGCAGGGCGGAGTCAGGAGGGGACTCCCTTCTGCACAGTGGCCCTGCCCTGATGTTGCCTGCAAGGCTCTGCTCTGCAAGCCCTGGCCCAGCCTCTTTAGACTCAGGCGTGGATATTTAGGATTTAAATCCCAGCCTTCAGGCTCCACAGTTCCTTCTGTTATGCACTCCTCTCTCTGGCTCCCTAAAGATGCAGGTTTATCTGCATCCACAGGGAGGACTCTTGTACCTGCTCCCTGGCTTTACTTGCTAGAGCCAGCTGTACCTGGGAGAGCCAACTATTGCAGAATTTTGAGCAGCACTGTGCTTGCTGTGTTGAGAATAAACTACAGAGGAACAAGGATGGACTATATAAAACCTTTTCCAAAGGCTCCACCTTGAGGATGGACCAGCTGGGCAGCCCGGCCACACAGTAAAGGACAGAGCCTTCCTTAAGAGCGGTGGCCCACTGACGATGGCGCTGTGCAGCCCCCAACAAGAGCACAGGTAAAGCAACAAAGTTGTCGTGATCACAGCCCCCCAGGGCCAGCCACATGCCACACCTCTCATTTAAGCCTCTCGGACATGCCCTGGCAGTGGGCTCCCGGGCCCACCACAGTAGCCTTTGCAGAGTTTTTGCTGAATGAGCATTGAGGGATGAGTATGGACCCAAGAGCGAATGCATAAGTGGTTGTATGAGTGGACCCATGAGTGGATGCATGAGTAGACACACAGGAGCACAGAGATGATGTGGGAGATGATGCTGACTGCCCACGGCCACACCACCAGGCACATCACTCCGACACGGGCTCTGCAACAACTCCCAATGTTTCTAAACTCCGCACATATTCTAGTGACATTCCCTACTTTCTGTCCAGTCATACCAGCCACCTCGAGGCCCACCATCCCTCCCAAGGCACTCTGTCCTGAGGGCACTGGCCAAACGACAACCCATGTGGCCTGATGCCCACAGTTGTACTCTTATCAAGAGGACGGGCCCTGCTTGCTGTGTCAGCAGAAGCAAGTCACTTCCTGTACCTGCTGCAGTTTTGTGGATGGCGAGGAAGTTCCAACTCAAATTGAGGTTTGCCAGGGTATCTGAGAAGTGCCTTGATTGATTAGTTATGTCTGCCCTGAGCATGGGAGGAAGGAGCTGGGGCACATTTGCCAGCACTGACTAGGAAATCCAAGCCCCTCCCAATCCAGCATTCTTGGATTTTTCTCCCCACTTGTCTTCCTCAGTTTCACACTTTTTTTTTCTCACATGTAACTTTTTCAGTGACCTCAGGAATTTCTCTTTCCAACACCTCTCATTATATTTGTGAACTAAAAACCAACCCTAATTGGGGCTGGAAAATATAACCAAAGTGATAATGACATTTTTACAAGAGAAAGAAATAATGTAAGTTTTCTATTTAAAAGGTATGGTTTTTATCCTGTTCATAAAAGCAATAGTTATTTATTGTAGAACAGTTATAAAGTACAGGAAAATACAAAAAAATTCACAGTAATCTTATCACCCAAAATTGCCAAGTAGGCATATAGCCTTATGGTCTTTCTTAAATTGGGATCAAAATGTTTTCAAAATTACTGCCATTTGCAACAACATGGATGGACCTTGAGAATAGTATGCTAAGTGAAATAAGTCAGTCAGAAAAAGCTAAGAACCATATGATTTAACGCATATGTGGGATAAAAAACTGAAACTCATGAACACAGCAGTGTGGTGGTTGCCAGAGAGAAGGGGATGTGCGGGGGGGATCTTAATATATGATGATGGGAGAAGATTTGACTTTGGGTAGTGGGCACACGGTACAATACACAGATCTTATAACATAGAAACCCACACCTGAAACCTATGTGATCGTATTAACCAATGTCACCCCAATAAATTTAATTTAAGAATAAAAAATAAAACAAAAATTTGTGTTTTTTTACCTAATAAACTGTAAGGAGGTTTTTTTTTACAGCTTTTAAAACACTTTTCTAGACATAATGTTTATTTATAATGTGTATTCCACTAAATGGATGTGTCAATTAACCTATCCCTACTGTTGTATATTTGGGTTGTTTCTAATTTGTTATTATTAAAACACAGTGCGGAGCACAGGGGATTTGAGAGCAGTGAAACTGTTCTGAAGGATATTATACATGTCATTATAATTTTGTCCAAACCTGTAGAATGTACAACACCAAGAGTGAACCCTAATGGACACTATGGATTCTGGGTGATAATGATGTGTCGATGTTGGCTCATTGATTGTAACAAATGTTGATAACAGGGGAGGCTGTACATATGAGGGAACAAGGGGTGTATGGGAATTCTCTGTATCTTCCCCTCAATTTTGCTGTAAACCTAAAACTGCTCCAAAAAAATGAAATATAGTTTTAAAAAAGAAAAACACAATATGATAAACACCTTTTTAGGATAAATTTCTTCAAGGGGAATTTTAGGGCAAGAAAGCAAAATATTTTTAAGGACAAAGTAAAAGTTTTGAAGTAAAATTTAACTTTACAAAGAATATAAACCTACAGTCCTTGTACAAGCTTTGGAAAGAATTCTCTGTAGCTCCACAGAATCCTTTGTTTACAAGCAAGAGAAGTATATATAGCTTTATCTGATTGTTGTTAAATTGCTGTTTTCATTGTTGTTTTCTAGTAGTTTTTATTACAAACATAGAATTGTTGAGGGCGACGCATGTGCGGGAGTGTTCCAGGGGAAAACACAGCCACAAGTGCAGGCAGACACTCGATGTCTTTGGGACACTGCGTTTGCATCTGCTCTGGGAGTTCCCTATAGTGGACTTCCCCTTGACTAATATTTACAGCATCTTACTTGCAAAGAAGGGTGCATGCAGATAGAATGGCTCTTTTTTCTTGCATTTGTTTAAAGCCTGAAACCAAGGCTACCTGTACAAGGTAGTGTGCCTGGGAGTCAGATGGGCAGTTCCAGGAATGATGGCAGCAGATGTGGGGTGTCTGTGGGGACACAGAGGCCTGAAATGGCAATGCCACTTTGAGAACAAGTGGCCAATAGAGGAAAACAAAAGAAAGAAACCTCCCCAGGGGTGAAATTCTGCTCTGGTTTGTTAATTTTACAAAGATAGGAACATAAAAAAAAAAGGACACAAAAGTTAAAAATATATATGCCGGCTGGTGTGGCTCAGCAGTTGAGTGTTGACCCAGGAACCAAGAGGTCACCAATTTGATTCCTGGTCAGGGCACATGCCCAGGTTGTAGGCTCTGTCCCCAGTAGAGGTGGAGGGGGCGGGGTGGCAAGAGGCAGCCGATCGATGATATTTCTCCCTCATTGATGTTTCTATCTCTCTATCCCTCTCCTTTCCTCTCTCTCTCTAAAAATCAATAAAACCTATTTTTTTAAGTTAAAAATATGTCTTCTACATTTTGGAAGTTAATGTAATTGTTCTTGTGGACGTTCATAAAATAATCATACTAATGATAACAATAATACCTAGTAACTGGGTAGCAACTGCGGTTTTTCTCTGACTCTCTTCATCTCATTCCATGAAGATCAGAGGATTAATCTCTCCTGATTCCTGTGTTACCCTTCCCAGCCTCCACATATCTGTGAACAGAGCCAAAGCTGATTGCTTTTAATCAGTGCAATTTCCTCTTCAGCTACTCTTCCTTGACTATTTTTCCCCTTAGCTTCCCATTTCAATGTTTTGATTGTTAAAATGGGATTTAAGATCCATAGGACTTGTAAACTGAATTTTATGGGACTAAGTATTTGAGAAAATTATCAGACAAATGCCCTCCTCCTCAAAGGATTTTGTTTTGCTAGTTTTCTTAATTAAGTTCATTGCATGTCTGTTATGCCCAAAATAATTAGCGAGGTGCCTCCACATTTACTTCAAACCACAGTTATAACCTTCTCTGTGCCTCATCTCTTAGCTCCCTTAGGAGTCTGTCTGCAGAAGCCCCTGGACGATATCCTGGTTCTTCAAGCTTGTGATTCTGTTTCTTATTCATCCCCTCGGGGATGCTGGCATGATGAACGAGGAT